ATTTCATTCATTTGATCTTCAATCGCTGATACTCTTTCTTCCAGATGATCGAGTCAGTTACTGAAGTTTGTGTATTTGTCACGTAGTTCTCGTGTTATGGATTTCATCTCTATCAGTTCTTTTAAGGACTTCTCTACATTGGATATTCTAGTTAGCCATTTGTCAAATCTTTTTTCAAGGTTTTTAGTTTCTTTGCACTGGTTATGTAGTTCCTCATTTAGCTCTGAGAAGTTTGATTGACTGAATCCTTCTTCTCTCAACTCATCAAAGTCATTCTCCGTCCATCTTTGTTCCGTTGCTGGCGATGAGCTGCATTCCTTTGGAGGGGGAGATGCGCTCTGATTTTTTGAAATTCCCGCTTTTCTGTACTGCTTTCCCCCCCATCTTTGTGGTTTTATCTGCCTTTGGTCTTTGATGATGGTGACATACTGATGGGGTTTTGGTGTGGGTGTCCTTTCTGTTTATTAGTTTTCCTTCTAACAGTCAGGACCCTCAGCTGTAGGTCTGTTGGAGTTTGCTTGGGGTCCACTCCAGACCCTGTTTGCCTGGGTATCAGCAGCAGAGGCTGCAGAAGATAGAATATTGCTGAACAGTGAGTGTTGCTGTCGGATTCTTTTTCTGGAAGCTTCATCTCTGGGGTATAGCCCACCGTGTGAGGTGTGAGGTGTTGGTCTGCACCTAGTGGGGATGTCTCCCAGTTAGGCTACTCAGGGATCAGGGACCCACTTGAGCAGGCTGTCTGTCTTCTCAGATCTCAACCTCCATGCTGGGAGATCCATTGCTCTCTTCAAAGTTATCAGACAGGGGCATTTACCTCTGCCGAGGTTTCTGCTGCTTTTTGTTTAGCTATGACCTGTCCCCAGAGGAGGAGTCTACAGAAGCAGGCCGGACTCCTTGAGCTGTGGTGGACTCCACCCAAATCGAGCTTCCTGGTGGCTTTGTTTACCTGCTTAAGCCTCAGCAATGGCGAGTGCCCTTCCCCAAGCCTTGCTGCCATCCTGCAGTTAGATCTGACTGCTGTGCTAGCAACGAGGGGGGTTCCATGTGAGTGGTACGCTCTGGGCCAGGTGTGGGATATAATCTCCTAGTGTGCCGTTTGCTAAGACCTTTGGTAAAGCGCAGTATTAGGGTGGGAGTTATCCGATTTTCCAGGTGTTTTGTGTCTCATTTTCCTTTGGCTAGGAAAAGGAATTCACTTCCCATTTGCGATTCACACGTGAGGCGATGCCTCACCCTGATTCAGCTGTTGCTGTTCGGGCTGCACCCACAGACCAGAACCAACTGTCTGACCCGACCCAGTGACATGAACCCAGTACCTCAGTTGAAAATGCAGAATCACCCGTATTCTTTGTCACTCACGCTGGAGGCTGGAGCTGTTCCTATTCAGCCATCATGGGCGTGCCTCCATATACATTTTAAAAGTACCCCGTCTATGACATTGTGTATGGATGTGAACATATATACTAAAAATACAAAAATGTGGATGGGAAGTATACCAGGGAAAGGTCTAGCCAGGAGAAAAGAAACTGTGCTAAGATTTTTAAATATTGGATGTTTGATTCAAATAATTGGTTATAATAGGTGATCAGTTACACGTGATGGAATAGCTGGGCTATGGAAAGGGGATGAGGCAACTCAGTTTAGCAGCAGCAGGAAGAGATCCTCGCTCCTAAGGAAGAAAGACAAAGAAAGGGTGCTGCTCCCTCAACCCAGAAGCTTTGTCTGGTAGGAGATAGAATCATGGTGGAGTCTGCCTGGAAAAAGCTGGGCCCACAGAGGAATGTGCTTTCTACTCGAGATGCCACTCAAGGTCAAGAGACAGGGAGAGAGGGAGAGAGAAATACCTGACTCTTGCCTTGTCCAGCCCTTCAAGCTCCTAACAGTACCTCTCACTGAGCAAATCCAGGGGAAGTTATAACATAACAAGGAAGCCTGGGAATGTAGGTGTACCCCCCAGCCCCAATCAGAGGGTGAGGGGACTCGCCAATTTAGGATAGGCATTTGCCTCTGGAGAGGTAGTCAGGGGAATGTGCACAAAGTGGTCCTTGACTATATTGGTAACTCCTAATTTCTTTAATTTTTTTTAAAGGTTTGGAGACAATATGGTAAAATGTTAGCATTTGTTTTTGTTTTTTGTTTTGAGACAGAGTCTCTCCCTCTCATCCAGGCTGGAGTGCAGTGGTGCAAGTCTGGCTCACTGCAAACTCCACCTCCTGGGTTCAAGCGACCCTCCCACTTCAGCCTCTCTAGTAGCTGGGACTAAGGTGCACACCACTACACCCGGCTAACACTTGTTAACATTATAATGTGGGTGACCAGAGGCTCATTACTTTATTTTCTGTACATTTCCATATACTTGGAATATTTCATAAGAAGTGATTATTATAGGACAAACAGAAATGTTCCAGATTAATGGCAACAGTAAGCATCTATTGTATTTCCACCCTACTTTCCAAGGAAATGCCACATCTCACTCAGTGAACAGTAGCATCTTTGTGGAGTTTGCAGGGTGTGCCATTGACTCTTTGGCATGATGGTGTATTGAAGACAAGGTGGGAGAGCAAAACAGGGAATGAGTGGAGACAGGCAAGGAGGAAAGGTGGCAGGAAAAGACTCAGGAGGAAGAGGATGACCATCGATCGCTGTGAGCTCTCCCAGAGCCTGCCTGCCTTTCAAACTTGGTTCAGTCACTTACTACCAGAGTGGCCTTGACAAGTTCCTCCTCTCTCCCTCCTAAGATGTTAAGAGTACCTACCTCAGTGGGGTTATTTTGAAGATTCAGTGACTTCCCCCACAGGAAAACACTTCACATTGTGTGGGCGCATAGTCCACTCTCAATCCATGTTGGTTACCATCATTATTTTTTATTATTGATCTTTACATCCTCAGTGTTGGCAGAATTTCTTGTGCTTAACAAATATTTGTTCAGATCAGAGAAGTGGAAAAAATTGTCATCTGCTTATTCAAGCCATGTTTTTCTGTGATATTCTGATCCTAGTTGCACATACAGAAATACATGTCTAAAACAGCACCTCAATTCTGGTCTACAGCAGGATGAAGTTCACTGTGATCTCAGATAAGCTTGGCTAAAATAGGACGTGAGTGGAGATAGTCACACTTCAGCGAAGAAAGAGAATCCCCTGTGTAATGTCTCCAGGAGATTCAACCTCAATATTCTGCATCGTAGGGGTAGTCCTCCAAATGAGAGGATCTGCAGAAACAAGAAAAGAGAGAAACTCTGTTCCATCAAAGCAAAAACTCTGGTTGAGAAGGCGTTCTTCTTTGGTGGACTCTATCACATCTGCGCTCTCTCAGCCTCCTCCCTGCAAGAATATAAGAAGGGTGCTCACACCTTGACCTTCCCTCAAACTGATACGAGGGCTTTGCTAGGAAGGAGGACAGACAGTGACCGGGGCACGATAAACAACTCGGAATGACAACTCATGGTTAGCCTGGTGTCAGGTGAGGCAACTGACAAGTCTTGTCCCAATCCACTGTCACAACATCATGAGCTAGGAAACAACACCAGAATTGACAGCTTGGGGATTGTTATGCGTATTAAATGAGATAATAGCACTGGCAAAGGGCTCAGGACCCTGGCACATTCTCAGCGAAGGTTCAATGGATATTAGCTGCTATTCATATTATCATCCTACTTTATAGGTAAAGAAACGAACTAAGAAAAACTAGGAAATTTACCCAATGTCACACAGCTAAGAAACCAGGGTTAGTGTTGGATCTGAGGCCAGGTGCACTTACTCCTGAGCCACCAACCCATTGCCTCCACTGGATATGATGTTCATTGGAAGGTCAGCCGTTCAGTTTGGGGGAGAGTCCCATTTTATGTTCACCCTGCCTTTTTACACTAAGCAGCTGCTACTTTGTTAAACACTGATAAAAATAAGCCATTATAAGATGAGGAAAGCCTTCTGTGATACTAAAGGTGGGCAGGATAGATATGGAATATCATGACAAGCAAGCTGTGCTTGAGATACTGAAACCATTTTTAAAAGCTGAAAAATCATTTTGGCTATAGAAACATTGGAAGAAATTCAAATTGGCATTGAATTACAGACCTCGAAGTAATAAATGCTAGACAACTCTCTTTGATATATTTAATTAGATACATTAATCAGAAAGTATTGATTGTAAAGAGATGATTTAGGATTCCCACCTAGCCAGAGTGAAAACTTTCTTTCAATCACTTTTCTGACATTTAAAGTAGAGTTACCACCACCTCCTTTAAGAGGCATTTGGAGATTATTTAATCCAGCCTCCCCGGCCTTCTTCCTTGAATGCTCTAAACACAATCCCACCTCAGGGCCTTGGCACCTGCTGTTATCAATGCCAAGAATGCTCTTCCCCCAAATATGCATATGGCATATCCCTCACAGCAAAGCCTCCCTTGACCCACCCCATATAAAGGATCCGTCCCACTACCACCCACCACTTCCTATCCACTTTGCCCTACTTTATTTTTCTGTCTAGCATTTGTTACTGTCTGTCACATGTATTTTGAGTTGATTTATTTCTGTTCTGTCTTCTTCCCTCCCTCCCTAAGCACGTGGAGGCAGCAGCTTTGCATAGTATGATAACCCAAGCACCTAGAAGATGCCTGGCACATAGAGGACCACTAGATATTTATTGAATGCAGGAATAAATGAATGCTCACCTTCTGCCTATTGACAACACACCTTCTGTTACAATTCTAGCTCTACATCCAGAAGTTCAGACAATGAGCAGCAATTAGAGATGTGTCCATCACAGTGATTCCCAGGTACCCCAATTTTTACTTACAAAACTGCCCCAAAATTGTATTTGAAGACACAAGTAGTCCAAGCAGCCTTCTAGTCCTTTCAGCTAACACTCTACCAGTTTAGAAAATCTCCTGGCAATGCTCCTAGTTAACTCCATGCAACTTACTGCAACCCGGTGCAGGCCCTCCAGTTTCTGTTGAAGCTGAGGATGGTTGCCATCTCCTCATCACTCAATTTAAAGTCAAAGACCTGGAAAGATATGAGTTCCAGTACATCATCAGTAAGGCCGTTACTGCTGTGACTGGAGACTGTCAGCCATTCTAGCAGGGAGTTCTAGCAGCACAAACTGGTCACAGGTGTTTTTCCCATTATGTCCACGGGATACAAATTTTTCTCTAAATTAGGTCCTACACAAAGACCGCAGTATTTGTAGTGCTCAGTGTTCCGGGGGAGGGAGACCAGGCTCACAGGCACTAAGCCCCAGGTGTGCACAGGCCCTGTGCTCCATGATGCACCCTTCTAGAAGACAGTTCTCCAAGGACAGTTAACATCTCCTCTGCTGCCACAAGATGAGCAGGGAGGCCAGGACAGTCTGCTCATGTGGTGGCCCAGGGCTTAGCTGCTCAGGGGCAACTGAGAGTCTTCTCAGTGGTGTGAGGCACAGCTGTGCTCAGACCTGACAGGGCTTCACCAGGCACTGTCCCCAGCATGTCCTAAGCCCATGGGTCATTCATCTCAGGTATATTGAGCCTAGCACCCTAGACTGGAAAATGATAGGGTGGTGGGAACGGAGGGGGCCAAAGACAGTGCAGGAATGAGGTGAGAATCCTGGTGAGAGGGTCTGCCTCTGCCCCACCCCACGGAGAAGTACCAGGGCCGACCACCCCGGATCTTACCTGAATGTTCTCAACAATGCGTGCCGGTGTCACAGACTTGGGGATCACAATCACATTCCTCTGGATATGGAAACGGATGAGAACCTGTGCGGAAAGGGGACATCATGTTTCCACTCAGCTACAAGGACCCCTCCTTTTATGGAAAGGAAGAATAAAACATTTTCGCAGCTCACTGTGGCTTCAGGTACAATCGTTGATGCTGACTGAGGCCTTTGCAGCTATTAGATTTGTGCCAGCCCCTTGCCTCATTCTCTCCCTTCACCTTAGGGACAACTCTGTGATCTTCATTTTTTAGGAATAAAGAAAGCGGTTTGGGTCATAAGGCTGATCAGAGGTAGAGTTGGCATCTGCACCCATATCCCTAGACTTCAAAGCCATGCTTTGCGACTTGACTGTAGGGCTTAACAGGAAGTTGTGAGGCAGAAGCTATCTTTGTTTCAGTGACAGCTCTTGTGTTTCCTGGAGGTTCCAACAGATTTCGAAGGAAACACTTTAGAGGGCTTCAGCTCCTGTGTTCTTCCCCTTTAAAGAGTTAGTTGAGGACAACACAAGAAATGAAACATGAGACTGGAAAAAAGAGTTGTTGGATAACAAGAAAAATAAAAATATGGTACCTGGGCTGTGGTTTTCTTGTGCTTTGCAGCAATCTCCTTAATCTTGGGATCCTCCAGCAGGGAAGGGTCCTCTGGCTTGGCCCTAGAGGCAGAAAGATGCTGATGTGAACAATCACCATGGCTACCATGTACAGATGTACACCACACCAATGAGGGTCTCAAGACTGATCATCAGAGCCTCTCCATCTGGGAGACAGGCAGGAGGACCTGGAAGCTTGGGTCCTTCCCCCGGGCTCTGAAGCCTCAGCATTTTGCAAAGCCTGGTTCATCCTTGGGTGGCTGAACTGGAAATATTCCCAGAGGGTCAAACATGTCGCCCATGTTTTTGTTGTTGCTGTTGTTGTGACTTTTCAATTCCCATTTGTTCCCACCGTCTTCCCATTTGGTTGTACCAAATGCATTACCTTACACACGTTTTTCTTTCCAGTGACTTATGGTCTCACACCAATATTTACCAAATATAAAATAATGTTTTAAAGATTATCAAGAGAAGGATCCACTGCTTGGAAGCCTCACCAAGGTCTATCTGGAGAGCCCAGGGGGCTGTGGGCTGTAACGGTGATGCCCTTGGAGTGGCAGTACTGGATCAGTTTCTCCTGCGTGAGGTACGGGTGACACTCAACCTACAACAGCAAACAATCCTCATCACGGGGAAAGCTGGCTGGCTTTTTGAGTTGTTCTTAGGGAGTTCTACACAGACACCCAAAGACCACCAAGCAAAGGCCAAACATCTACCCACCGAGATTCTTGCTAAAAAATCCATGAGATCAGCCTCACACCTCCCACAAGTGTCCTGATCACTGACTCCTGAGATGACACTCAGGGCATAGATAGCACTGAACATTCCTCCCAATGTTTAAGAAGTAATAGGGCAAGACCTTTATTTACCCTTATACTAAACAGAATTTACCTGGTTAGTCACTGGTTTGTATTTCAGTCCAGGTTTGTTCAAGAGCCTCTCGATCTGGAAGTGGTTGAAATTGGAGATGCCAAGGGCTTTCACCAGCCCCTCATCCACCAGCTCCTCCATGGCCTGTCATAGAAAGGAAAACCTTTTGGGCAGCCCCAGAGGGACTACAGGGACCCTGGCTTGCCTTAGTCCTCCCTGGGGCAGAAATTGCTAAAGGATTCATCACAACAGGGTTAGCTGAAGCATTCACAGGAAATTTCAGTCCAGGGCCTGGGTGCCCATCAGTGAATATTCCAGTCCTACTGCCCCTCCCCAGCCCAAGAAAAACTAGGAGTAACAGGTAAAGATTTTATATTCTTGCCACTCTCACCTTACACATAAAGAAACACACTCAAAATTATACTTCTGTACACAGGGGAAATATGAAAGTTTTGTAATGCAAAAAATAAAAAAATAAAAAATGAACATTTGCAAACTTATGAGATGATTTTATTTTTAATGAATCCAAATGACAGTGGGTAGCTACTGCTGTGTGTGCATTGTACACCCAAACCTGGGCAAGCTGTGTTAGTCAGGAAGAGGCTTCAGCATGTGGAAAAGCCTCACTTGTGGGTCCTGAGTCACTTTCTCCCACACCAACCGTGCTTGGGTTTGCAGGAAGGTCATGCATATAGATTATGCCCTGGCAGGGGCACCTGGGCAAGGGGTTGTGTGGGGCTGAAACCTGATCCACCGTCTGCATATCCAGCCATGCTTCCCAGTACAGAAACTACAGGGACCCCCAAGGAAGGGAATCTTTGTATAACTTTTAGCCTATATCGGGCATTTTCCAAACTTGCCCAAAGATATCATATATGTTAGCAGCAGCCTCCAATGCAACATGTATTTATTAGCCATCTATTACATGTTCCAGAAGTTGTCAGGATATAAAAGTATACAATGTGCTTCCTTCTTCTGGGATTCTTATAGTCCAGTTAAAGTGCTAGGATTCCCTTCTATGGAGCCATCAACCATGACCATGAGGCTGCCTCAGGTAACATGACCATGGCATAGACAGAGTCAGAAAGGGCAGAGAAGGAAGAGATTCACACAGCCTGCGGCTGTCAGGGCAGACCTTCAGGTAGAGTTTAAAGTGAGCCTAAAAACAAAAAACAAACAAACAAACAAAAACAGAGAGAGAGAGAAAAGAGGGGAAAAACATGAGCATATGAGACAGGAAGGCAATAGCAAAGCTCAGAGGCAGGGATGAACATGACTTGTTCAGGGAACTCTTTATCCAGCCCTTCTCAACTTTGGCTGCAACTTGCAATCACCAGGGAAGTTTAAAAACTACCGGTGGATGCAGTGGCTCATGACTGTAATCTCAGCACTTTGGGATAGGATTGAAACAGGGGGGTTTGGGCCTGGGTTTCAGCAACCTAGGGTAAGTTTTTAACTCTTGTAGACCTTCATATTCTCTTCTCAAAAAAAGTCTTATAATGCATACTAATAATATATATCTTTCTGATACACATTGTCAGAGGCTGAGACAGGAGGATTGCTTGAGGCCGGGTGTTCGAGACCAGCCTGGGCAACATAGCAAGACTCTGTGTCTACCAGAAAAAATTTTTTTAATTAGCTGGATGTGGTGGCATGTGCCTCTGATCCCAGCTACTGGGGAGGATTGCTTGAGCCCAGGAGTCCGAGGCTGCACTGTGCTATGATCTTGCCACTGTACCGCAGCCTAGGCAATAGGACAAGACTCTCTAAATTAAAACAAACAAAAAAAAAGTAATATCGGTGGCTGGGTTTCACCCCCCGGAGTTTCTTACAGATTTTATCTGAGTTGTATCCTAGACATTGGGATTTGTAAACTCCGCAGGTGATTCTAATGCTCAGCCAACATTGAGACCACTAGCGTAGAGGAAGTTATTCAATTGGGGAGGAGAGTTTAAAAGCTATGAAATCTTAAGGTTCCCTCAAACTTCCGATGGAGCAATTAGATAATTTAAAAGCTATTGTACATCATCGGTCAGGTTAGTCTGCCTGTCTTCGAACTTGACATCTTTATACTTTTTCCTCCCGTCTGCTTCAGGGTGGTCAGTGAGGTTTCTACTGAACTGGCTGTGGGTCTACAGAAACATCCAGCGCTTTCATATTCAAGCCTGCTTGTTTGAAATCAGAGCCTCTGACCTTGATCACTGATATCTTTCCATGCCTTTCAAATGTTTAATTTAACAGTCATTCCTGTATTCATTCAGAAAACAGCACTGTGAGACGCAGGCCACACTTACATACTTGCCATACTTAATATCATCATAGGAGCTAAGGCAAAAAAACTGATCAAATGTAAGGCAAACTGCCAGGTGCAGTGGCTCACACCTGTAATCCGAGTACTCTGGGAAGCCGAGATGGGTGGATCCCCTGAGGTCAGGAGTTCGAGACCAGTCTGGCTAATACGGTGAAATCCTGTCTCTACTAAAAATACAAAAGTTAGCCGAGCGTGGTTGTACGCACGTGCAGTGCCAGCTACTCAGGAGGCTAAGGCAGGAGAATGGCTTTAACTCGATAGAGGAATGTTGCAGTGAGTCAAGATGAAGCCACTGTACTCCAGCCTGGGCGACAAAGTGAGACTCTGTCTTTAAAAAAAGAATGTTGTGTTTGTGGATTAATGTTTCTGAACCAACAATACACAGAAAAAGCTACATTTAATTGAATCTTGTCAATTCTAAGCATTTCAGAAAGGTGAGGCTTAATATATTTTCCCTTGTAAAACACAATACAAACTCGCAACTACATGCATCCCTACACAGACAGCTGCCACTATGAC